GTCAGAAGTTGACATATGATATGTGATTCTATTCAGAGTGTCATTTTCTTTCGAATAAAGTCAAAAAAATGCCGAGGGTGCCATTTAAAAATCAAAAATTGTAATAATTTCCGGTGAAACAGGAAGTGACTGAAAACAAATGAATACGTCAATCAATCCTAATTTAGGTCATATACTAACATATCAAATCTCGTTTATTTATCTAAAGAAATAAAAAAGTTATAGGAGTGAGCCACTTTTGAGACGCACCCGGTATAGATAACTTTATGGGGCAACTCCATATCCAAGATGAAAAAGCTCTTATTATTTAAAAATTAATCATCTTCTGAATTTTTTCGCACATATTCATATACACCCTGTAAAATAACATTTGTAAAGGACTCTTAAAGCGGCTGTAATTTAATAGTTTACCAACAGTACTAATAACCAGTCGTAGTAATTCAGCATTAAACCACTTTTATAATGTAACTTGGACTTTTAACTCGAACGGTATTAAACAATTATTATTAATTACTTTTCCGTATAATACTCATGGAATAAATTACAGTGTTCTATAAACAGCACCGTTAAATGTCTGTTCATTCTTCTAAAAATGTCTAGAAAGGCAAAAAATGGAACTATTATAAACTAAGACTTGATAGTATAATTTTGATAGAAACTTAAATTATATTTCATTATAACGTCACAGCTTATTTAGTACCAGCCTGTCATCTTCGCTTGTTTTTGGGTAGCCGTGTTTCATCTACTGCTCTTATTCTCGTACATCAATGCCAGTAGTCAGAGCACAAGTCTAGGTTGTTTTAATTCGTGTAATTTTAATGCAAGACCAAGACCATGAGGGTCTTGATATTGTAGTCGAGAGTCTTGGTATTGTAGTGCATAAGTAATCTTGGTCTTGGTCTTGCTGTAAGACTCTCGCAAAGAAAAAAACGATATTTGTCTAGTGAAAATTTTTATTCTTCATTATAGTAGGGGCGGCATTTCTGGTCTTGGGTGGCGATTTTCAAGTGTACGAAGAGTACGGTCAACGCGCTTAGTTAAATAAGGTGTATTGAATAAAGATAGAAGAGCAAATACTTCCCCCTCCCCCTTCCAAGTATCCTTTCCTGCCAAAGGTATCGTCGAGGCTCGTCTGGGAATGCCTGGATGAACTGGGAGCTCTCGCACGAAGGAACAGAATTACATTATTCTGGGTGCCGGGCCACAACGGCATCTAAGGCAACGAAAAAGCCGATGACCTAGCTAGGCAAGGATCATCGGCATCCTATCTTGGTCCAGAGCCAGTACTGGAAATACTCAAATGTATGGCTCGTAGTGCACTAAAACTCTGGATCAGGGAAAAGCAGAGGGTCCATTGGAGAAACAGACAGGGGCACAGGCACAGTAAGGCTTTTATCCAAGGACCTAGCTCTAAAACCGCAAAAGAACTGCTAATGCTTAGTAGGAATGAAGTTCGGATTACAGCAGGCCTCTTGACAGGACACATGGCTGTCAAGTGTTACCTGAACAAACTCAACCTGTATTAAGGAAGTCTTTGCTGCAGACTCTGCAATGAAGATCCTGAAACAGCGGAGCACATAATATGTCATTGCGAGGCTCTGGATCGTAAACGACACTTGTTATTTGGGAAAGCTACGCTAGAACCGGAGGAACTATGCTCCCATCCTATCAAGGACCTGCATAAGTTAGTGCAGGGCACAGGGATAGGAGAATGGGTGCAGATATAGAAAGGAGACAAACACAATAGGCCTGATAGGTGGCAGTGTTTCGGGCAGAGGACGACCCCTTGTAATGGGAAGTATTTTTTCAAGCGCATGGAATGTAGCATCGGATTAACAGGTTATATTATATTATTATCTATAAAAAATAAGATATAAAAAATGTAAAAAAACGGCACGATCGCAAGAGTCTTGTATGCAAGACTAAGACCAAGACCGCAATACCAGGAGCAATTTCGCTCATCACTAGTTTTAATACACGATTTTTCAAGAAAACGTTATGCTAGGTATACAGAATTTTCATGCAAATTATTGTAAGTCGGCAGGCTGGTTGAGAAGAGGCTGTTAGTAGCTGAGAATAACGTTAGAAAACTGAAGAATATGCAAAAATAATTTGAGGTTGCTATTAAATATTTTTTTTGTCGAAATTGTTGGTGAAAGAAGTGTGATGACTTCAGCGGCGTGACTGAAATAGCTAGGTAGAAGATTCTCAAAACCTTCTTGACATTTTCAAGCAATATCATTCAGTACATTAAATATCTGATGCACAATGATTATAGTTTAATTATCTAACTAACTTTTGTACTGACAATTTATACCACTTATTGTTGATAAGAATCTGTAACATGTTTATTAAAAAATAGAAAGTTTTTGACTTTGATCAAAAACTGATAATTCATAAGAACATGAGTAAACAATGTGTCTTACATAATTGACTAATTTCAAAATGAAGGCTGATTAAGATTAGCATCTCTGTGTCAAATATTGTTATAAAATATTCTAAAATGCTAATTTAGAATAACATTATCGAATATTTATACAGGATGAGTCTTAAATAAATGCAAATATTTTCAACGGTGCTAGATATCGATAAAAAATATATTTTCTCTTTGCCTTTTTTCAAATAAGTCTACAATAACCGAGTTATTTTACTTTAAAAATTTCCAAATAAACTTTTTTTTGCTTAACTTTTGAGAACCACTGGATCTTTACTGGGGTTTCTTGTTTGTAAATTTAGTCTACTACCTATGTTGCCATATTATCAAAAATTATGCTTTTTAACTTAAAACTAAAAAAAAATCCAAAAAATTCTTCAATTTTTTTCCCGAAAACAAAATCTTAAGACTCATCACCCTCTATTGTGTTTATTCAATAAAATATTTATTTTACTTTTAATAATACTTAATTATTTGATAATAATTATTTTACTTTATTTTCCAGGTAGTGATACCAGCAGATTGTTTTTCCTCAATAAGTTTTTATTTCAGAAATAACTACTGCAATGTTAATCTACAACTTCATAGAGATCTAACCTAGTGGTCTTTTACTTATTGGATCAGTTTTTTTACATTTCTATTTTTTACGTTTATCTAACATTTCGTGGGCTTTCTATAATTGGAATACTTTTATAAGTACTGTACAGAGTGTCCCATGACACGGGATGGCGAAAAAAAATTGAAAACTGTCCATCTCCTCGAATAAATCCATAACGTACGATTTTTTTGTATGACATGCAAAACTTATAATTTGTAATTTAAAAATTATGATTTTTATCGTTATTTTCTTAAATAGACCTATACTGTTATGTAATTTTAAAAAGCTTGTAAAAAGACAAGTTAATTTCGTTATAAATATACAGGATGTCCTATGTAAAAACCTAATAATATTAAAAAAAAAAACAGCAAAATAGTCACTGGATTTCATGTAAAAAGTTCTATAACATTTCGTTTCTTGACAAGTGGTCAATATAACTAAGAAAGGAGGACTGACCGAAATTGCAACGTTTTCAAAGTGACCTTGTGTTATAAAAACTAAGAAGTCCAGATAATTTTTGTATGTTGCATCATTAGTTTCCTAAAAGAATAGCTGAGATTCGCGAATATTGTAAAATACCGTTACTAATGAGCCAGGTACCCTAATTTGTAATGAGACACTATGTTCAATAATATGTCAAATGTTTATAATATTTATGAGTTAGTTAGTTTTCAATTTTTTAAAATACATTATTCGATTGTTTCTAAAATAAAATTTACTATTAATAAAATAGCTACATATACAATAATACAATTTTAAATGATATTACAGGAGATTTTGATGCCTATTATACAGGGTGAGTTTTAAATATGTGTACATACTTTCAGGTAGATCTCCATAAAAGAAACATATTTTCTCTCTACCGTATGTCAATTCAAAATCCAAAATAGCTGAGTTGATTTTTTACTTTGGAAATTTAAAAAACAATATTTTTTGCTTAAATTTTCAGATCCACTAGATTTTTGTAGGATTTCGTTTCTCTAAATTTAATCTACTGCCGATGTTGCCATTTTATCAATATATTATGTTTTAATAAATAATATTTTCTTGCCTTTAGCTGTGTATTTTTTCTAATTTCGAAAAATCGAAAGGAGAGAAAAAAATATAAAGTAAAAAAAAATTGTTTTGCTTGTCGTAAAGGGGGGAAGCAAGCTCCACTCCCATAACCGGTTTCTGGGCCTACCCTTCATCAGGTGGGCTGTCCAGGGGCTGGTTCTCACCGATACGGCAAGCAAAACAATTTTCTTTTTACTTTTTATTTTTTTCTCTACTTTCGATTTTTCGAAATTAGAAAAAATACACAGCTAAAGGCAAGAAAATATTATTTATTAATATACACTAAAGCTGTAAGAATTTTGTTCAGTTCATTTAACTAAAAATGATAACAAAATCCTTTCTTTTTTTCGCGAAAAAACCTTCATAGATCTGTTCCTGGGATCGAAAAATACTACTTCTAAAAATATGTGCGTTTTTTTTAAATTCACCCTGTATGTTTAACTTCGCTATTACATTGTTTAATAAGAATATCTTGCAGACTAAGTAAATTAAATATATTTAATATTAACGATAAAAAATAATTTCAAAAATTAATAACGATATTACATGGTAAATTTTAAAACATTTCACATTATTTTAAAAAAATACTATTATCAATTGGCTTAAAAACATATTTTTTAAATGACCTATAACTATTTTTTTTAATACAGAACCCTACATCCATAGTTAGACCAGTTACGTCCGTCCGTCGTGTCTAAACACTGACGTAAATAGTTCGAATACCGTGACGTAAAAATCTCAACCATCATGGTCTCCACTGACATTTAATCAGACATTTCAATTTTACTTTCATCTGAATGATCTTAAACTCGTTTTTATTCTCCTATACCATTCATTTTAATCAATAGAATAACTATTTTTTTATAATTATATCAAAATATTAATATATTTTTTATATCAATTTTTACTCACTGTTCCTTAACTGAACTGCTTACTAAAAATACCTTTTTTTCTAGATCAAAACATCAAACCAAATCACTGTAACCGTAACGAATTCAACTGAATAAAAAGATATAACAGGAAAAATAAAATAAAAGCACTTTGTCACGCTGCACTTGTCACTAGGTCACAACGTTTTTTTACATTTGTACTGTTTATTTTTTCCGCGTACTAGAAAAAAAACTGCGTACCATACAGTAGACCGGCTATTCGTCCTGGTACACGGTACTATTTGAAGTTTGGCGCGTTCAGTCCATTCAAGCCTCGAATGCACTTACTATGAAATCAGTTGGCGGCGGTGGAATAATAGTGATAATACCGGGTAGTACCAAAGAATATTCCGCGGTACTACTTGGAGATCCTGCGGTCGCCGCCTGGCGGTATTTAGAATGGATATTGTTTACGGTGTGATTCTGCTGCTTTGGAGGTCGCAGGATTTAGGCTATTTGCGGAGATTTTTTGATGGCAATAGTTTGATTTATTCTTTTGTCTTTCGCTGAGCAGATCGAAATGAATTCGATTCGAGTCAGTTAATTGATTGACAGGTTTCATTGATTAGGAATATGAGACAAGGTCTGAGAGGCTAGGTAAAGAAAGGTGATACTGTTTTGTTGTAGAGCACTAAATAATGACATTTTTCTCTCTTTAGAAAAAGAGATTAAATAATATATTTGAGGCGTCAAGTTGCAAATGCAAATCACGCCTTATCCATTTAAAAAAAAGCCTAATGACATGTATAGTCCGTCTAGAAAGTATCCGGAAAAAAGAAAGCAAAATTACAATTATCGATATATATATATATTTTTAGGACTTGAGTTAAAAAAATGTAACAAATTATTAATTTTATATACTTATAAAACCTCCATTTAATTCCAAACACTTAACTAAACATCCAGGTACACCCGAAACTAGGTCCACACCATAATGTTCAGTGGCGGTAGTCCAGGCCTGGAAAACTGAGCGAATCAAATCTTGTTTATTTCGTGGAGCTGCTCGTTCTACTTCAATCTTCATTAGACCCCGTATGTTTTCAATGGGACTAAGGTCTGGTGAAGCTGCTGGCTATGGAATTGTTGCCAAATGGTGTTCTTGCATCCAAGCTTGAGTATAGGCAGACGTATGGCATCTTGCATTATCCTGCTGAAAACGCCACCCCTCTGGATATAAAACATGAGCCGTTTCAAGAAGAAAACCATTTAAAATATCACAGTATTTTGCACTGTTAACCGTTCCATCAACTATATACAGAGGTATAGCACCACGCTGAGATATTGCTCCCCAACCATTATTTTAGTGGGAAATTTTGAAACTTGAACGGTAGCATTTTCTTTTGATAGGATTTTTAGGTGGTTTCCACCAAGCTGGAAACAACTTTCGTCAGAAATAAAAACATTATTAAAATTATCTTCTTGAAAACGTTGACAAAAATCCATTCTTTGGTGCCTTTGTAGAGGTGTTATTGCAGGGATTTTTTTTTGATTTCCTTGATATGTAGCCTTGTCTTTTCAGTGACATGCGGACGGTTTCTGGACACATTTTTAATTCTCGCTGGCTTCCAAATCCGTTAGCCAATTTGCGAAACCCTGGGCGCGGATTCTGTCGTCCTAATGCCACTAAAGCGTTTAAATTGTTTTCGCGAATCTTACGCGGTCTTCCTGAAACTGGTCCATGCTTCATATCTGTGCCATTTTTTATCCTCTTTATTGTCTCATATACTGCACTTTTTCAATCAATTGCACTAATTTTTTAACGTTTCGAACACCTTTTTTATAGAAATATTCCATTTCCACCATTTTTTTACTTGCGACATTATTTCTCAAATCTTAAGCCGGTTTACAATCAACAATATTTGACAGATGGTGTTGCCATGCGATTTCGGTCATAGCCTACTATCGGCACCACCTACGTGATAGATTACTGTTGTCTTAGTGTGTTACAGAAAAAAAATACATTAAAATTAGGAAAAATATAAAATTCCGGATACTTCCTAGACAGACTATATTAATAGTGGGTCCCTGAAATCTACATAAACATAGTCCCAAACTGCACAAAAAGTCATCTATTCTATATAAAATTCACTACAAATTACGTTACTGCAGCAAAATCTGTCTTATCCAGGTATATTTGCTTTTTACTGTCATTATTGTGGCAAATCCCCCATTTTTTCATAGGCTTTTTACACAAGCATAATATTACTACTGACGTTTTATCAATTTCAGATCCTCTACCTAATTGTAAGGAACTATAATATTTTAGGGAATTATAGATTTTAAGGAATTATTGGTTTTTTATTAATTATAATATTTGCATATCTAATAAATCAAGTTAGGATACAAATATCTTGCTGCACCAAAAACCAGCAATATGCAACATACTGCAACAAAACCTGCCATGTCCGATTTATTTTTGTGTTTTTTTCTCATTAAAAATTAAATATTAATTTTTATTTCTAGAAAAATAAGTTAATTGCAAATAATTTACTTTTGAAAAAGTGCTTCGTTTGTGCGTTAGAGGGCATCAATCAAAGATAAACCCAAACGTAAAATAAGATGTACTCAATAAAGATAGAAGGCAAGATTTCCCAAGCGCATGGAATCTATCGTTAGATTAAGTGGTTATATAATAAATACTTCGTATTTTTGCTCTCTCCGACTTACTAGATTGCCATAGCGATTCACTCCTATACATATAAACGTCGACCCAAGGTTTCGCTTGCCAGCAGGGTATATGACATTCGCTAATGGCTTTCTTTAATAATTATTTGTTAATAAAAAAAATGTCAACCTACTATTTACTGTTTACATCTGCTTTGTATCTCTTAAGTTGTACGGTAAGGTTTTTCTTTTCAAGTTACTTGCCAATATTGAGTTATAACCCATCAAGCTCATAATTGATAACTTCCGATGAGGCAGCGTCAAATCTCACATTATTTAGCACGCTTGTTGCTGAGAATATTCTAAAATGAATCTACTAATAATGATGTTCTAAATCGAATAAAAAAGAAAATTTAATTTGATATGATCTTCGTGGGACTTAAAATATACAACATAAGTACGTAAAAACTTAATTGAAACTGTAAAACATTATAGAAAATAAATATAGAGCTGTATAATTAAGGTTAATATTCTCAAGGGAAATTAATATTAATAAATATAGCAGTACCAAGAAAATTTTATTGGTAACAATACCGTTACAATCTCGGCAGTCAAAACATTTTAACTTACATTTTCTAATTGTTTTACAATGCAGAAAAGTAAAAGTAAAACGGCGCAACAGACAAAAACAATACGATATAAAACTATCTAATTAATCATAAACATTAAACGAACTGTTTATGATTTATCTAATGATTGTTATCACATATTCTACCAGAAATACTGTTTTGTTTTTTTAAATTAATTAACTAATTTTAATTATGGCTCTTTACAGGCTACATAAATTAGTCTTTTTTCTAGATGAACAAGTTGATAAAAATATTTTTTATGTTTCAACAAATATTTGAAGAATGCTTTAATGCTTCTTGCTTGGTATATCTCTCATAAATTATATTGGAAGATAGTGATAATTCTTGTGTCAGAAATGGTATGTTAAAGATGTTTTACTAGGGACTCTTTGTGTAGTGTTAATTCAGTGACATGTAGAATTTTCTTTCCGATTACAGAACATTGGACCAACGTCTCAATTCTAAGGCGGTTGAAAGTTACCTACAACAAGACTTTCAACCAAAATAAACCAGTCATAAATTAGGTATGTACTTTGAGCATATTTCTAAAAAGAACAGATGGACGGGAAAAAATATCATCGAAGGGAAGATTGGAAAACGAACAGGAGGAAGGTCACTGAAGTCCGACGCGCTGTGTGGACCAAACTAAAGAAATTATTGGTCACTTGGTCACCGTTTTTTTTCGTAACAAGGGGCCGTCCTCTGCCGGAAACACTGCGACCTATTGTGTTTGTTCCCCTTCTATATCTGCACCCATTCTCCTATCCCTGTGCCCTGCACTGGCTTATGCAGGTCCTTGATAGGATGGGAGCATAGTTCCTCCGGTTTCAGCTTAGCTTTCCCAAATAAAAAGTATCGCTTGCGATCCAGAGCCTCGCAATGGCATATTATGTGCTCCGCTGTTTCAAGATCTTTATCGCAGAGTCTGCAGCAAAGACTTCCTTGATACAGGTTGAGCTTGTTCAGGTAACACTTGACAGCCATGTCATGTCAAGAGGCCTGTTGTAATCCGCACTTTATTCCTGCTAAGCATTAGCAGTTCTTTTGCGGTTTTAGAGCTAGGTCGTTGGATAAAAGCCTTGCTGTGCCTGTGCCCCTGTCTGTTTCTCCAATGGACATTGTGCTTTTCCCTGATCCAGAGTTTTAGTGCACTACGGGCCATACATTTGGGTATTCCCAGTGCTGGCTCTGGACCAAGATACGATGCCGATGATCCCTGCCTAGCTAGCTCATCGGCTTTTTCGTTGCCTTGGATGCCGCTGTGGCCCGGCACCCAGAATAATTTAATTCTGTTTCTTTGTGCCAGAGCTCCCAGTTCACTCAGGCATTCCCAGACGAGTCTCGACGACACCTTTGGGTTCTTGGTCACGGTTACAAGAAGCCTCTCTAGCCGCTTAAGATAGAGAAGGATGGAGAACAACGATCCGCGCAATTGAGACATGATGTCACCATACCCTTTGGAGAGTTAAGGGACAAGAAGAAGAAGACAAATAGCTATGATATTTTTATTTAACGAACATTTCTTGTGACCAAGAAAATAATTTTATTCATGCTTTTAGTAAACACATACGGGACATACAGCGACAGTAGCCTTGAGCAGTGTCCTGTAAATAACATTACGTCTAACCTGTTATCTATTAAACGGCAACTTTTGTTTGAAGTGCCGCATATTGTACTGGAATTACAGAATGGTCCCTTATCTGAACTCCCATTAACCTTTAAACGGTTAGATGTGGCTGTAAACAATCGAGGCGAGGCAGCACAACAAACACATAATAACCTTTTCAACTCGAAAAATCCAGAAAACCATAACGCCGATTACAGGGAATGTAGAGAATAATAGTTGCGCGTGGGCTTTATATACAGATCGGATCGTCCATAAATGGGGTTTCAGCGCTTAAGGGGTCCAGTATGGTTTTAGACGGACTTATTACCGTGTGATTAAAATCGGAAAATAGAGATTTAGAAGAAAACAAGTCATCAGAAATTGAATGAAATTTATTTCATCGATTCGCATTATTAATGATTTGTTATCGTTTTTATATGTATATATAC